TCGTTGCGTTTCAAACATGGTGCAAATTTTGGGGATAGACATAAATTCCTGCGAGAAAGCACCGGAGAATAACACCTTGGTGGCGAAGCAGGTGTCAAGAAAATTTCAGTAACTCTTGCCACATAGATACATCACTGACTCTCAGTAAAGGCAGCTGAAACCGACTAAGGCGCAGACAACAAGAATGAGGGGGGTACCCAAATTCGCAGGCCATGTAACTCACTGCGTCCGATTACCTGCATGAACAACACGCTCTATCATAACGCAACGCGGTGGCTGATGAGATGGAAGTAATTGGGATTGTCACTTAATCACTACCCAACATTATTCATCCAGTTTATACCGGATGGGTGTATGCATATAACACTGTGGTTTGGACGACGAAAACGAAATGTTGCTGCGTATAGTTTTACTTTCAGAAATACTCTAACTGAGCGATATAAAGTCCACACAACCTTCGCAACTGTATTATTCTGTTCTATACCACCTACTGAGAACATGTCTTGTAGGAAGAGCAAATGCGAATCATATACTAAAGTGGTAAAAGATGGTCTGTGTGTACCATCCGCTTGGCATCCTATCACACTACCTGCCTTGGGATGGGACCGATAAAAACAAAAAGGTACACTAATCCGGTAGACGCGTTTTGGTTCTGCCAAGTCTGCAATTCTATCCCTGTTGTTAGCTGTCTAGCTGTGCTACTGAAGAGGTGTGAAAGGCTAACAGAATGGTCCAGCAACTGGTGAGCGCCGGGGTTACATCCATGGGAGGATACGGATCTGCATTTGTATTTGAAAATAACAGCCAGAATTCCCGTCAGGCCGAAGAAGAGAGCCAGTCGTCCCAAGCTTACCCAAACGACTCAGCCTCCAGCAGTGTCATCTCCATTCTCTCTCTGTGGCTGTCTCATATAAGTGACAACATTGCCTGCAGCACGCCTGCCTCAACTTCTGTACTGCGTGTTGCACATTGTAGTCTGTTCGCTACACAGGAGACGGTAAGCTATAGGCAACCAGCCATGGTGTACAACCCAGTAACGTACGCATTGGCTGCCGCCAAGCAAACACCAGAAACAGCACCGGTAACATTTGGGCCCGAACTAGAGAAAAGTAAAGTGTCGCAACACGGATGGCCCCTACCAGTGCCGTTTACAAATTCACCAAAACCACCGGACACTAAGGCTCCAAATCCAAAATCAGTAGCAACCAGGCGCAACCGTGGTGTCTTAACCCTTGTGTATACAAATGTCCCCGAATCCAAATCTAATACAATTAAGGGTAGGTTGATGAACGATCGAGCTCAATAAGTTCCATCTGTACTTCGGTCCGTGTCCATGCTAATACCACGACACTAAAAAGTATCTCGCATCACCCAAACGCGTTGCAATAAGGCGAACCCAGGTTACTTCAAATAACACTAAACTCGGCAGAAGAGACTGAGGCCGTTCTGTTCTCTGCGAATCGTCTCCGCAATGACTCAAGTGGAGTGCGCATACTACTCGAAATCCCGTGGAAAGGAAGTTAAACGGAGCCCACCAACAGACAGAGGTACAGAAAAAGTCAAGAAAACAGTGTTTGCTCACGATGTTCCAGAACTTACAGATTCCTCTTCCAACGATGCTCATATGCACGACCTTGAGCAATGGCACTAAATCCGGGCTGCTCTTTCTCTCGAAAATGTCGTGGCCACCCAGTTGACAAGAGTCCCTGTGTCACCGAACTATAAGGGATGCGGTACCAGGCTGTTAACACTTGTGCTGCAAACAGAACTAACGGCACAAATCCTACAAAAGAAGTGGACTAAATTCCGTTGAAGCTTGCTAACAGAAATTCGTTTGAAAGCAGCGGGAACACCAGCGCCTTGTAATGACAATTCAGTAGAGGCACAACACTCAATGAAAACGCCAACTGCAGGACCAGACTGGGGGACGGTATCAACCGTAGCCATAATATCCGGAGGGACACAGCAGAGCACGAACAAAAACCGGAATCCGGGGAATCTGATACTTGCCTGTATACCAAATTCGTCTCGAGAGTCTGCCACCCATCTAAAAAACGATTAGACGCCGACTCTTTATTGATAGGTGTAAACTCACTTGCTTCATCCATTCAATCTAACACACATTTGGTCTCCGAGAAGCTCTCATGCATGTACACAAATGTGAGAGGTCAATTCAGCAAATTAGTTGAATTCGACACGTGTCAGCAGCTTGGGACCTCATCGCTGTCACCGAATCGTGGTTGCGCCGTGAGATAACGGACGCTGAAATCGCGTTAACAGGCATGTCCGTTGTCCGGAAGGATCGAGCCAGCAAAGGTGGAGGGTTAGCCATCTACTTTCGTTAAAACCTGCAATGCGAACCCATAAACGATTCGGAAACCGACCTACCGGAGTCCATTTGGTGTAGGTTCTGGCTGAGAGGGAATGATCTTGGCCTATTGGCTTTTGTTTACCGCCCAACGTCGTCGACTCCTGAAATGTACTGCAACTTGATGGCTGCGTTGAGGCAAGTGATAAACAGGAAGTACCGCCACATTCTAGTTACCGGCGACTTCAAATTACATGCTGCAGAATCCCAGGCCACACCAGGAGAGCAATTCAAAGCAGACCTGCAAGATTCGGTGTCAGCCTTCCCACTTCATGGTTACGTCACTATGCCTACCAGATTCAGTGGAAGTAATAAGCCATCCATATTGGACCGAATATTCAATAATGAAGAACTGATGATCGAGGAGGTGATAACCGATACTCCTTTGGGCCGCAGCGGTCATGCAAAGCTAGAGTTCCATTACAGGTGCTACCCGGACTAGCCTAGATAGCATGCCGAGAAACATCATGGCGTAACCAACTATGACGACCTGTCCGACCTCATTGAGGCAACTAGCTGGTCGTTCTTAGCCGAATTGACCCCTGAGGTAATCTGCGGAGAATTCGTCAACATCTGTAACACGGTCGTGAAAGCACATCTAAAACCAAAGTCTACCGACCTAAAAGGATGTAGTCCTTCGTAAGAAGCATGACACGTAACTGCATGGCATTAAGGGACTTGGCATGGCACGCTTACATAGCCCCCCGGACGACGATACCTGGGATGTCTACACAATACAAAGAAACCACTGTGTCAAACTCGTCCGGGGGAATAAACTGAAGCACCAACAATGTCTAGTGGAGAAGTTTTGCTCCAATCCTAAGCGGCTATACAGACAAGTAAACAAAATGCGCCGCGTTAAGCGCGACATTCCTCTTCTGCACACAACCTACGGGTTATCCCAAACCGCACAGGGGCAGCCAACTTTCTTGGACAATCATTTGGACGTACTTTTCAAAGAATGCAATGCTCGTACAGCCTGCCCAAGCAGAAAATGCCGCCAACAGGGTTTAATCACGTATCGTTTACCTCAGCAGCAGTTCTGTCTCTGCGCGAATTCAGCTCGCAGGGATGCGGACTGCATTCGCCCGAAGGTGTCGAAAGTTGCTGCCATGGGTTTGGCGGCACCACTGGCAATTTTCTTTCAACAATGTCGGAACGCGATGCACGTCTTCATGATGTAGAAGCACGGAATCATCGCGCCAATCTACAAAAGTGACAGCCGTGCCGAACCAACAAATTAACGCCCGGTAACCCTACCTCCTTTGATCTCCATGCTTATGGAGTCCATTGTAGCTGAGGCTTTGATGGGGTACTTGGAGAACAAAATTCTGTTTACAGGGCAGCACCGATTACGCCAACATCAGTCCTGTACTACTACTCTGTTGATTGCTCGTGCAAGCTGGACGGTATATGTGGACGCTGGTGTAGGAGTCGATTGCGATCTACCTGGAATTCTCAAAGGCATTCGACCGTCTAGACCATCGCATTCTACTTCACAAACTCTAGAAATATGGAACCGGCGATCCTGCTCTGGTCTGTTTAGGAACCTTTCTCGTGCAACGTCACCTGAATGTGAGGGTTCGCAGCAACCTATCGGAATCCATCAAAGTTCAGTGCGGCGTACCTCAGGGCTCGGTACCTGTACTCCGTCTGTTCCTGGTTTTCATAAATGATCTCGCGAGCGCGCTATCATCTAACTGTTTGCTATTTGCTGATGATCCAAAGGTATGGTATACTATAGCTGCAGCGGAGCATCAAGCAGGGTTGCAGGATGAGTTGGACAAAACTTTCACATGGTGCATCGAGAATACGCTGCATTTCAACGTTACCAAGTGCAAACTTCTCAGCATACGGCACAAGAGTATGCATAAGTACCGCCTAGGACCACAAATTCTACAGCGGGGTTCTCACGAGTACCATCTCGGCGTGCTAGTTCATGATGATCTAGGTTGTTTGAGGCAGGCTGAAAAGGCAGCTAAGAAAGCAAACAAGTACCTCGGCCTTCTTTGCAGAGCTTTCGGAAAGTTTGGCCCTTCAGTCTTTCCAAAAATGCTTAATGCGTACGTGAGGCCACACGCGGAATACGCCATTCAAGCGTGTCAACCCTGGCTCAAGCACCACCTCACCGCGCTTGATGCTGCACAAAATAGGGCAACGAAGTGCGTCAGAGGTCTTACCAGCCTCCCATACCTACTCAGACTGAAGACTCTCAAAATATACAATGGACGTTATCGGCGTCTAAGGGGCGATCTCATAATGGTGTACCAGGTCCTGAGAAACACAAACCACCTATGCCATTCCCTTCTAATACTCAGTCAAAACACCCCGCTAAGAGGTCACCAGTTTAAGTTAGCCACGCAGTACGGCCGCCTGGAATGTCGGCGAAACTATTTCTCCGTTTGAGTGTCATAGCTTAGGAACGCCCTCCCGGAACATGTACTTAATGAACCCACCCTATCCCTTTTCAAAAAAGGCCTTATCGATTCTCTGTCACATTTACCCTACGTGCTACAGTCCATGACCACCAGATGCTGGCACTAATGTACAACAGACAGTAGACATTGCCATAACCCTACTCGAGTATGAGTCATTCCAAACCCCTTGCACGAGATTAGATAAACGCTACTACTATTGAAATTGGATTTCTGTATCCCATCAACCCAAGATAGCTGCACACGAGTAAGCGCTGTCCTTGCTAATTTTTATTTTTTTCTCGCCTATTACATGATCAATAACCACTCATTATATTGCTTTGTGTGTCCACATTCCAATTTCCAACTCCCTTTATACGGCAGTGCTGTTAAATCTGTAATCGCCCAAACTGACGACTCCGTTATCCCTTGATCAATCTTTTCTCACTCTATGCACCCCACGGGACATGTCAAGCACCTGTTTTTTACCCGTTATACATTATTTTTCATTATCCCTTGTTTATTTTTTCACCTCACGAAGGCCCTATTCAAACCGGATGGCCTTGAGATACACATCCTGGGCCACACTCAGTCAGACAGGCACGGATTCAAGGTTTCTGCAAAGAAATATGCTTCAAGCAAGCGGACGATTTCATTTGATGAACATTGCTCAGTGGTAGAGCGTACACAATTTTCGGCAGTTGCCTTAAAGCAACAGGACCTGAATGGAGCTTACTTGAACCTCCGATTACCTCCCGTCGAAAAATTAACTAGCAGTCGGACAACAAATCAGAGTAATCTATCCATCTGGTACACCTTACAACTTGAGTTGAATACCTCGGAGTTGAAAGGAATGGTGTTTTTGCTGCATCCGAATAGGCCAAGTTCGGATGTTCGTTCATATTTTTTGAGGACCACGACGGAAAATCCAAATTTCTCGCATGAACACCCCATGCTGGCTGCAGAATTTCGGAACACCAGCCTCTTCTTCATTGTTCAAAGAGATCCGACAATGTGGTTCGACGCACTGGTGAATGATTATGAGGAATCGTTTCAGACTGACAAACACATATCCCTCGAAGTTTCATGGTATTCAAAATCATTAACTCACAAAGTTACTTCAACTAACTGGCCTCTTCTTCGTATCCGACCGGGTCCTAGACACGATTGGCTTTACGTCGGGTTAAAGTCGTTTCAATCCAACCAATTCGGACTCTTGACACAGGATATAGTGCAAACGCAACTCAACTCCATCCAACATGAGGGACGGCAGAACTACTGGCCAGGTCAGAATTTGTGGGTTGGAGGAATAAATTCAACCTTCGCACTGGAATCGGGAATGCTATATCCTGGCTTACACAGTCTTAGCGGAACCAGGCGCGGGTTCGTTGGATGTCTACTAAGGTACGTTGGTCGCTGTTAATCTATACCTTAGCTGATAATGGTGGAACCGGGTGTTTGCGGTTTTACACACAAACTTTCATTTCAGGTATCCATAAGGCATCCGGGTATGAAAATCACCCAACGACGTTCTGTTTCCTAAACAGACGTTGACTATAACCTGCTAGTTGAGCAGAACGACACTAGATGTGACCGGGAGCTTCTACTGCAGAACGTTACTCATCATTTGCCACACAGCTCTATTGTCCACCATTCATACGTGGAGTGCATCCGGGGTACACCCAGTCCGTCATAAGTGGCTGCAAAACAGTAGTCAAACTAACTAGGATTTTGTGGTTCAATTTAAAGGACCCAATCACGCGTGTGATATAAAAGGCTCATTCACTGAGGTGTCGATGTCGTTCAGCACTCATTTCATGATAATTCGTAGTACTTAGACAATGTGGTCTTAACCCTCGCGACTGCGTTCATTAACCGGATTAGAGGGGGTGGATAAGATGTGATGGCCAACATTATGGCTATCTTTTTTATCGCCCCCGTATACCTTACTGTGTCATGTTAACAGAAATTCACGTTTAAAAGACTAGCTTTAGTTGCATGGCGTTGCGAGACTTATCGCAACAGTGAAACACAAAGCGCTGGAGTTAGGTCATTAGCAACCAGCGTGATGTGCCCGGAATTTGAGAATTCGTGCAGCCGCGGTACATACATTAAAATGTTACAGTAGGTTCATCGCAATTAGATTAGAGGCTTCAGTGGCAAGTTTTCAACCCCTTGAGCATTACTAATCAAATATTAAAACCTTCCAGTCTTCAAAATGATTGGTGGATTCACGACACTGGCAAGGGAAGTCATTGCCCGGACGGTCAACCACTGTGTTCTGCACCGGTAGTAACCTGCGTAGCAGTGAAGGATGGGTAGAGCTGTATATGAAAGTTAGGTTTCAACCAGTGATGGTGAGCTGTCGTCACCCATGGCTCAGGGGCACTGACCGTTGCCAAGTGGTGCAAGCCACTGGCAGTCAAGTGTTCGATCTTCAGCAGGGGGCCCAGGGAATGCGCACCAGTGACGAAGCCCAATAAGATGAAACGATCGTCTGGTGCAGTTCTGGATTGGTAGCTCCCGTATACCACTTTTAATCTAATTGCGATGAACCAAACATAATCATACCCAAATCCGTCTACTCACTGGTAATAATCAGACGTTTTCTAGCCCAACACTATTTTAGCTACTCCATCTCCCTTATGCCGTACACCATATAGCACAAGCAATAGGAACGTCATTGAAATGTACGTGAGACCTGTAAATCTACCGCGCATTGCTAAGGATAATAACTACGGATTGTAATTCGTATTAAACAGCATATTACTCAGGGTGCTATAAAACATGTCAATGAAGGAAAAGGATTATATCGATCTCTAAAGAATGCTCATGACTTGACAAGCGTTAGGGTATATTTACACCTTCCAGGAGATTGGTAGGTACACTGGGTACATCCATTTCAATCTATGAAGGGGAGCATAATGAGTGCGCGCCAATGAAAAGGAAAGAAATTGGAAACATCAACAAAAGCATCCGAGAAACACACCAGCATGGATCGAGATTAGCAGGAAAACCGATGAACTTGATAAGCGATTTCAGCTTCCGTAGTTAACTCCTGTTGGCTCCCATCCTCCGGGACTCTGGATTATCTCAAGTGCACAAGCTACAGGTTCCTCTACGTTCAATAAATAACATGTGCTTTTCTACGTACCTTTTAGTTGCGAAAAGGATGAAGCCGGCCCTGTGTGTTTAAAAACAATTATTTATCAGCTTAAGACCGCGGTGGACATAGGGGTGGAACTTCCGTCATTCATTTTGCACATCATGCTTATTCTGTCACACCCACAGTTAAGTATATAGTTGCATACCGGTTATTGTTAATGGTACTGTGGAGACAACATAAAATGCATGCACCTACCAACTTGCGTCTTCTTACCTTGCTTTTCGGATTGTACCATTGTTTGAACCTGTACGTAAAGAACTCTGATTCCATTCTTTAGAAGGTTTCGTTCATATTCGTAAATAAATTTAAGGACCTGAAGTTAAACGGTAAACTGAAGCTCTCTTTTGATGTAGAATCGCTATTTACTAACGTACCATTGCTGGAAACTGTTACTTTCATCTGCGAATACAAAACGGAAAGGAGTTTAAACACCGGTATTCCAGTGCCTAAACTCAAAGAGTTAATCTTGCGGTGTGCCTTCAACAGACAACTCCTGTTTGACGGGATTTATCATATGCAAATTGATGGCAAAACAATGTGGTCTACCCTTGTACCCCTTCTTGCCGACATCCTCCTCGCAAAGCATGAGTGTAGTTTCAGCTAACCGGTTATTTCTTCATTAGATTCGCACTGGAGGTATATGGATGAGACTTTCATTAACTGTGACGTTGGCACTTATGTCATCCTTCTGCTCGATCAGTTCAGCAGTGCATATCCTTCAAAGAAGTTTACTAATGAAATGGAAAAAGAAGGCAAACTGGAGTTTCTGGGCTTGTTGCTGAAAAGGCTCAAAGTGTCTTCCGGCAAGCGATATTAGTTGGTCAATACATCCCATTTTCTTGCCTCTTACCTGCGAAGTATAAACGGAAGTTAACGCCTTTGTTGTATTACCGGGTCACGAAAATTTGCAGTCCGGGAACACTGGAGAGTGAGAAGGGCCGAATTGTGAAAATGCTGCTTTCGAAGGGCTACCCACCACTGTTCATCAAGATGCACGCCCTGATCCGCGAGCGCTTTAAGCCTGTAGCAACGTTTTCAAAAAAGCACGCTTTTCTTTATTCCTATCAAGGAAGATATTGACTTCCATCTTTTGAATAAGAAACTCTCCACCGCCGTAGTAAGGACCTACCCGGCCGCCCAGGCGCACCTACTTGCGGAGACCGCACCCTCTGTAGCTAAAAGTTTTAATGACAGACTGCCAGTGTGTCCGACTCGTATGTTTTTACCAGTTTACTTGCACCTGTGGTGCCAAGTATCTCGGGCATACGACCACACGTCTGTCGGTACGAATGGGTTAGCATTGTTCAAGGTCACTGCGGGGAAGCACACTCAAAAGTATCGACAGTTCTGTCTTAGAACATTTGCTTCAAAGTGGGCACCATATTTTGACTAAATATGCCTTCAAAGTCTACTACGCCGTACTGACACGGTACCCGAATGGGTTAAGGAAATGCATCTTGCAGACCGCTGAAGCCATGGCTATCAGGCTAACGCAACCAAAACTATACAAGCATAGGGTGCTTATGCAACCCTTGACTTTGCCATCTCCATCATGTGAAATCGTGCTTTAAAATATCACTGACAGTGCTGAGCTTCAACTAAGCGAATAGTCCCATTCTAGTGATAAAATCAGGGCCAACTGCATTTTGGGTTAAGAATTCTTTTCGAGTACTCTCATTGGACAAAATGCTTGCATGGAAGAGATTAGATGCTGTTATCATTAAATTTGGCTGACAAATTGATCAATGGGTTGTTTGAATAGCCTACGCGATAGCTGATGGCTAAGCTATAGTTGGTAGACATGGCAAAACGATAGTATATCACATAAACGCTCCACATTGTCACGGTTTTGTTAAAACTTATGCCAATTATGTTGGATGATATGGTTGAGAGCCAAGAAGAAGGAGCATTAGTCTGAAGAGCGTTAAGGCGAATTTATTAATCCAAGTCTCAGAGTTAATTCTCCGGAATGAAGTACTTGGATGTAAAAGCTAAACATATTCAGCTGGCGTTTGTTTATTACTGCCTTGTTGGCATTGGTGTAATATGGGTAGAAGGTGTAATTGCATGCACAGGATCCAGTGAAGCTGTTAACTTGATACTGTAACACAGCACGGTAATTCGAACCCGTTCCATCGGGCGACAGTTGTAGGTGAAGGGGACAGGAGATGTACTGCCGTATTCAAGATTCAAAAAGCGACTGCACGATGTTGCCGCTGAGGTCCGGAGAACTGCTACAGACCCTCTCACTTGTTGGACCCTGGTCAATGAGCTTCGGGCTGGATTACTCTCTTCTTCTATTGAAGTTATTGGTATGGAACCAGGCTTGAAATGATTTTATAGGTTGACTTTTTTGGCACAAAGTGGGGTGTCCCAGGTAAAACATGATACACCTAAAGTATATCTATTATACTTATAGCTTGTGTAGACGGACACGTTTGAACATATGGATGTAGGAGGCAGGCGGTGGTTCAAACGCATGATATGTGTACGCTGACCATGGGATTTAGACTGACTACTACGACGTTCCAGTACGCAAGCCGATGAACTCCTACAGTTAAACCAATTCTCAATATGTGCTTCAATAGCTTTTCGACTTCTCATTAATGCGTCGTTTGATCAACTATGAATTTACAATGGCTACATCAATCTTCTCATCATTTCTATTCGTTCCATTGCATTCTTACCGCTACAATTTCTTTAATTCATATTGTTCACGCGAATTAGCTTCCTGAATAAGGCTGAAGGTAGCCAACTTGGTTTGCTTCAAATATTTTTTGTACAACAACTACACATACTCTAAAGTAAATGAGTGTATCGACTTTCAGCTGGAGAAGATATGCAGAATTGCACGCAAAATCGGCTACTGCAAAAGAGGCACTTGGTTTCCCGATGTTAACCAGCTATGGCATTCATGTCACACCGCCACTGGTTTAGGATCAAATCTGTGCTGGAAGGCTGTTGTTCAAACCATTTTACCATGGAGAAAATCACATTTCTTGAAGTTCAACGATGAAACCTATTTGTATTTGCATGGTTGAGCCATTCATTTACGCTGGATGCAAATTAAAATGATTGTAATCGGTAGCATCTATTACTAATCGTTACATAAGGATTTTTGATTGGTAATATTCCGGTACCTTTTATCTGTTTGGGCTCTGCTTTCCGTGTCATCGCCATAGGGAGCCATATATGTCGTGAGTATAATAATGAGTATAATATGGTCATTAGTATAATAATAATAATAACAATCTTAATAATAACAATAACAATCTTAATGATAATAATAATTTAAGCCATCCACTAGTGGGAGAGGAGCTCAGCTCAGTAATTTTTAAGTCACTAAATAAAATGTAGTTTATACCATGATCATAGAATGATATAAGCCAACAAAACTCATAAAAGTGCCTCAGGCGAATGATTGAAATTCCGCACAACCAAAGGCCTCATAGCAGTCATGACGGTGGGCGACAGTGCCACCATCCAACGAAAACATTGCTTGTCGCACCGGGCTTAAGTTGCCCATGGTTTAGTACGCCATTTCGATACAATTGCGCAGCTTCAGTAAATAGCGGAACAATAACGCGCATTATGGGTACCAAACTTAACGCATAAGAAGTACCTAGAGGTGGTCTGGATGTGATGCCCACATAATACTTTGCGAAGAAATGTTCTTACCGAGAAAAAGCAAATATTTAGTAGTCTGAATTATTTCTAACGTTGCATTCCAGCCTAATAGAAACACCGATAATAGCTGTTTGATTCGTCAAATTTTGATGAAAACATCATGCTCAATCCTACCTGTCGAGTTAGGCAGACTAATAACATGCCATGGAGGGTTGGGGTAAATCCATGATGTGCTCTAACGCTATACCCCCTGTCGTTTTTATACACCAAGAGAAAGAATGAACGGCTGCATAAATCCACCAACCACAGGACATTCCCATATTCCGCTTCAAAGAATCCGTTCAAATGTGTTGGTATTTTACCCACGTGTGGCAAGCGAATGATACCGGAACCGGTTATGGAGATTTTGGCCACACTTTTATGTCTCACAGTTTATGGTAGTACACTCGCCATCGTCATGGACGCGTTTGTGAAAACTAGACGAAATACAGAGTTGGTAACAGGAAGGCAAACAAAAAAACTGAACGTGCACCGCATATAACAAAAGTACTAGCTGAACCTAACTAAGACACTCAGCTGCTACGATTATATCATGGTTGTGTAATCCCTGTAAGATTTTACCATAAATGGTTGAAAACCACCCTTTAGTGATCAGCTTTTGCTGGTGCACTAAGCTCCAGGAAGAAGAGAATTGAAGATAAATATGTTCTGCCACAGGTACGTACTGTGTTCCGTAATATAAAAAGACCCCGCCTACATGCTTTATTAATCGGCTTTCCATTCCAGTGTAAAGCTGAACCAAGTTGATTTGGATTTGCGGTCGGCTTTTGAATCTAGACAACGCGCTTCGGGAACCACTGCTCTGGACCGCGTGATGCAAGTGGGTTGCTTGAAGAGTCAGCCAGTAGCGGAAGATAGTACCTGCGAAGGTTCTGGCCTTGACAAAGATGAATTCCCGGGAATTGTTAAAGGAAGATTTTGCCCAAACGGCGGGAAATGCCTACCGAATTGGAAACGAGCGGAATGCGATTGCACAGAAACGACTTACACTGGACGAAGATGTGAACAACGTGTGTAAATTCCATTACTATTTCCAGACTTTTTTTAAAGGCTTCACTTCACAAAGTGACTCATTTAAGCTTATACTTTACAACATAGCTAAGACCATGTAAGATTAATTACCCCAGTTGTTTAAGAAGCACATAAATAAATTGTGACCCCGGTATCCTTCGGCCAACAGACTTGGCGGGTTTATTGATAAACTTAAGTGAAATGAAGAGTGTATGTATCATCTAGACCATGGCAAGTAAAGGAACGTCCGTTTAGTAGTCAAAGATTGGTTATCCATGAAAATAACATGCATTTACACTGTACGACGTTGTGGATTACTGGGGAACTGTTGATCACTATTACTTAAGGGTTATTATTCTTCGCCAAATACCGTCGCTCTAATTTCCTTTGCCAAAGGTTTCTTTTTACCAGTCCCTGCTCAGATCGACTCATATTTTGCCTTGGAGAAACGTTGCTAGCTAGATTGAACTAGTTCTGAACGAAGGTTGACCGGATGCAAACCCTTTACCAGACTGATTTCCACCGATTTTACTAACCTCATTAGCTGGACGGGCCTACGTGCTGTCGGTGGTGAAGTCCAGAGACAGTTACATACCAAAGTCATAGCCAAAAGTATTCGGTTTTCACTGGTTGACTCTCGATGCAGTTTTTTACTACCAAACCATCGCTGGTGTCAAGCTAAACTGTTCCATGTACAAAGCAATAACGTTACGGAATTGGGTCTAAATGATACAATAGGCACAGTGTTAGTCGGTCAGTTTCGTGTATCAACGATTACCATTTAGACAAGCCATGATATGACGTATATCGGTGTACGATCTTAGGGTCATCAGCCTAAGTTAATAAGGAAGGTGGAGCAGTCGTTTCACGTGCTGTATGCCTCTCTGCTCTGGAGACTCGTGCGCTGAGAGACTTGTCTGTGCTAGGGCTGCCAGTCCTGGATTGCATATTCCACATAAAGCGACACGTATGTATGAAGCATTCGTGGGGAGATAGATAGATCAAACCGCGGAGTACCCTCCACGACATAACTAATATGTTAGTTTCCATTCTCTGTCGCATTTTTCGCTTATTTTGAGTAACAAAAATAATGACCCAAACGCCCAGATACAGCGAACCTTGGATGTGACATGACATGTTGGAGGTGCAGAGTGAGTGACTGATGCTCGCAACAGTGTCCACGGCAGTCCTAAGCTGACAAACAATTGTTTCTGAACGCACAGCGCTGGCTTCATCCGGCTTATTGTGACCGCCTCAGTAAGCCGAAGGAAGCGTGAATTAGCGTGACGAAACACAACCGTGAACTCTGAACTCAGCTCTATCCGGTGACCCGAGACCAATAGGTGTTTACCTGCTACCTGCGGGAGCACCAGGATTAGGGTGGTAGGGATTTAGGGCGATTTCGCGCTGGATCCATCTCGGCACATGTTCCTTTATTTGAGAACTCAGAGTTTTATCAGTACTGTCTCTGTAACTGCTTCCGCATTCACACATGAATTGGTATACACAGTGTGAGTTAACCCCGAGAAGCTGCACTCCCCTCGTTGGAGGGAGTGGCAAACTTCGGGTTCGGTTGATTACAACAAGTTGAGCAGCGCAGTAACTTTCCTGCGTAGCCAATATTAGTTCCGTGATCGTCTTTAGCTTGTCAAAACCACCTCGGAAAGTTAACTCGATATAAACCTTCTAATTGGCTACCGTTTGTACCAAGTCCTTCAATTTTTGCAGCTGGTTGTGTTTATCAATAAACTCACGATGGAAGCCGTTATCCACCAGTGTTTTTGTAGTTAAGGTTAGCTCGTCGGTAAGACAGTGTGTCGAGCAAATTCGTCTGGCCCGACTAACTAGGGTCTTCATAAGTGCACGTTTGTACCGCAATGGTGCGAAACTGGTGAAGTGTAAGTACTGATCGGACCAAATTGATTTTGGAGAAATGGACCTTTTAATAAAGCCATCCTCGCTGCGCCTAATAAGGAGGTCCAGATATGATAGGCAATTATTCCGTTCTACTTCACGAGTAACCCGTAACTTCGCATGTGCATCGTTAAGGTGCTCCACCAAATATGCTACCTGCTGCACGGACGAACAAAAAGCCATGATATCATCAACATAGAGTTTGTAGTAGCGTACCTGGGCTATTTACGTCGAAATGCTTCTTTCGATCATCAACATGAAGAAATTCGCGAGTACAGGACCTAATGGGCTCCCCATTGCTGCGCCATCGATTTGGTGATACGGTGTGTTTCGAAGATGGAAATCAACTTGCTCCGTGCACAAGAACAATGATTTCCTCAGCAATTCAGTCGGAATTGGCAATGAACAGCCAGTTTTCAGCTAATTCACTTACGTAGTAAACTGTCTGATGTAGTGTGACGTTAGTGAATAAAGATGCTACAACTAGGAAAAGCATGACTTTGTCTGACAGGTTGATTTCATCCAGGTCACCAATGAGTTGAAATGTGTCCTCCGTTTATATGGATTGTGTCGTTGTCGCAGTGGTATAAGCACATTCATTAGCCAATGAGCTAACTTATGCTGCGGCACGTTCATCATTGAACTAATCGGCTTGAGTGGCACTCCACTCCTTTGGATCCTCGATGATTCATACAACTGTGGAGTGGTTCTACCAATCTGCTTCGAACTATTCCATGTGTCCCAATCTATCACACTATGAATAAGGAGCAATTCAAAGTGACGAACTATGCTCGTTTCGACACTGCTTACCTGAGTCGTCCGAATTTACTCGCATCGTTGAGTACGAGTCCATTTCTGATCATATCCAGTCTTATTCGGGAGCATCACGTCGGAACCTTTAACTGGTTTCATTATGACTACATCCTTAGCCCGCAATTCACGTAAGGCTTGAAATTGTCGAGTTGTGAGGGCAAATTGTTCACTAATTAGCACTGTTTTAACCTCGATGGTGATATTGATTAACTTGTTTCTAAGCCAAGTGAGCTTATCATAACTGACTGGCTGAAGATTCTAAAAACTGATCAAAGAATTTCTCAAATTAAGATTCCACGAACAATACGTTTAACTTGCTAGGGGGGACTTTGTAATTAGGTTCAAATGAGAACGCTTCTAATTGTAACGCGTCTGGTTTTACACTGGATAAATTCATCACGTACTTACTTGGATCACAAGCAATTGGGACCAACTAACAAGGTGTATACCAATTCTTGTGTGAATGCGGAAGCAGTTACAAAGATAGTACTGATAAAACTCTGAGTTCCCGAATAAAGGAACATATGCCGAGATGGATCCAGTGCGAAATTGCCCTAAGTCCCTGCCACCTTAATCCTGGTTCTCGCGCAGGCCGCCGGTTTCCTTGATAGGTAAACACCTATTGGTCTCGGGTCACCGGACAGAGCTGCTTTCAGCGTTCACAGTTGCGTATCGTCGCGCTAATTCACGCTTCATTCGGTTTACTGAGGCGATCGCAATAAGCCGGATGAAGCCAGCGCTGTGCGTTCAGAAACAGTTGTTTGTAAGCTTAGGACTGCCGTGGACACAGGTGTGAGCATCCGCCATTCACTCTGCACATCTATCATGTCTGGTCACATCAATGCCCATAAATAAATAAATAAATAAATAAATAAATATAAGCTCCACAATGGCAGGATGTACATTATCAGGTCCAGACGATTTGTAGGATTCCAAGCTTGCCAGGACGTCAAAGACCACTGACGCCTTCATTGGATCATTTATCATTATCAACTTGACTATGAGGCTGCGAAGGGATAGAACACTCGTTATGCATATGATATACGTGTTGAAAAAGGCGCGGCAACACCTATGCTTTCTCCGCATTCTCTATGGCATGACGGTCGTCAACATTATAAACTCACTAACTCCATCTCTCAAAGAAGCCTTCGATTGAACATAACTGTAATATACCTTTGGTCTTGCTTTTGCATTCCGAGCTAACCTATGGTCATAGCAGTATTGTGCATGTCTCTGAAAGCTTACTGCCAAGTTCCAGCATTCCTTGTGATGTAACCAATGCTTGAACTTTGCAAACTTCTGAACATTTCTCCAAGCGTTGCTGCACCTCTTTATTGACTGATCAATTCTCTAACTCCACCAGCCGGGCTTTTTCTATGTCACCTGCAGCGCAACGGTGCAAACTCATCCCGAAGCTGAACATACCCACGCAAGATTATGCATCATCGCTGTCCTGATGGCGTGCGCTTGTTCGGGAACCCAGTTGGTTTGTAGCACTCTATCCTGTAACTGATTAAGACTGACATGGCCGAAATTCCATGGTAGTGATAAGTTAATGAAAAGCCTTCCCATCAACTCGATGGATGCTGAGAATAGGTATCAACGTTGTACTGGATTTCTTAGGTGGTTGAATAGCCCTGTTGCGAAGTTGACCTCCCGTGTTTCTTACTGTCTGCTGTATCACCACAACCATTTTTGCTCTGCATTAAAAAGGACTTGAGCTATTAAGTCATTCACACACGTCATGGATGGGAGTTAACTGATGACAACCTATCGGGTATCTGTTTGGATGGACTATTGATAACAGCTATTTGCACAATGAAATCCAGAGCTGCCACTTTTTCAGGTTTTTGCCATTAAATGCTGCGGTCGAAGCTCATAAAATCAGTGCAACAATGTGCCTTGATTCAGCTCCATCCCCGACAGGTGTCAGGTAGTAGCGTCAGTTAAAAGGAATAATAAAGAAATGCGCCCAATATCTGAGTAACCAATTGTGTCATGAGTATCGCAGATAGATACTGAGATTGACAAATTAGACGAACTATGGTTCTAGCAACTATTTCTATTAGGTGACGAAAAGAACTAAGGCGCCGAAGCAGCTGAGAAAAATGGGTTCGCTTTTCACTAAGGATTATTATGTTTTCTGCAGGTTTTACCCTTAAACCCATACACTGGTCTATGCTAAAAGTGGTTATTGAACAATCAACAACGCCTTCGTTTCAGTTACTCCCTTCTTCACATTTGACGGACGTCAGCTCATTCATTTGCGATTCCCAACATTGCAATTGTCCGAGATAGACACACTGAGCTTCGGGTTCCAGACACCACAATATGATGTCATTCTGCTACACACGTACGCTGAGCTTATAGGACAGGCGTGGTTTTCGATTCACAAATCGGAATATGTATCCCGACGCAACCGATCCCGATCTGTTTTCGACATCTTGGACACTGAACACATTGTTGGATTGGAACTTGCTGTCGTCCGGGGGCGAATTCAAGTTAGATATAATCTTGGTGCGGATCCCAAGGTAATTTGTAGCGATCTGGTTTGTTAGCGGAAAAGTGCCATATTCTGTATAACAGCGGTATGGACGAATTATTGTTGTTTTCCAGATTACTCCGGAATTTTACCACTCTCTACATCAAAAGTTTTTACAATGATCACAAAATTTTTGATTCTGATTGCTGCACCATTAGGACATTGTCATTGTGTATAATGTACTAATCCCTATCAGCGCAAACACGATGTTAGGGGGACCGAGTTACCGAGCTATCCATTTGGCGGATGTGGTGCTTCAAATTCGAAGTTCTGTTTGGAAATTATTGAGAATACCTGTAGCTCGGGGAGTGGATGAGAGGATTGTCCTGTTCTCCGAGCCGGGCATTTTTGTTGCAGACTATTCGTTACCAAACTAGGCAACATCTTCAGTGCGGCTATTCAGTCCTGATTCGCTGAGTCTGGCTAACCAATGCCAGATCCGAATGACTACTGATTGTTGCCTGCTTCGAATGTCAGCCTTCGATCTGTTCACGTGAGTCAGTCGAGTGGGCACCTATTCTCCTTGTTGATCTGGTGCCTAATGCTGGCTTAACCTGCAGAGCTTCATAGACACCCTCCAGCTCCAGGTGTTTGTTGATTGAGTTCCGGCCAGAATGCCAGGCCTCGAGGAACTCACGCGCTCTGCGGTTTCCTGCTCTTCCAAGTATTTCAACGTTCTCCAGATCGAACTGATGGTTATCGACATCCACGTGTACCGACATTAAGGATTTCCTTAATGCGCATCTCTTTGACTCCAAAACGAGTACGAGTTAATTGATCCGCTTTGCCACATGGCGCCATAGCATACTCTTCCACTGACGCGAATGTTTTGTCTGAAATAAGGGGATCAAAGCGACCACAAGCACGATAAACACATCCCGATGGTGCACACACAATCTGTTGTCATTTGATCGCCGCGATACCAGTGGTTGCAAACCACCCAAACAAACTAGGTCTGATCAAGTCGGGAACTGGGTCATAACGCTATTTGTAATATATTTTATTTCCTGTACTGTTTTAAAATTTTGCTCCTTATCTCCGACCGACACCGTTGCCTCAATGTTAGCAACGTAGTTGTTGGTATTAGACTTACGCTCATTCCTTCCGACTGGCCATTGGCAAAGCCGTAGGACTTCTTGACTTGGAGTATGCTGATGATATTGCCCACATCTGTGACAGTTCACAAATGTGCCAAACAGTACTAGACAGATTATCACTCGCCGTTGACCACCTCGGGATTTGTTTTGCACCCTCGTAGTGCAAAGCTAAGCTCCAAGCTTGGCAGGAGCCAACTATGTACTGACTATTAGTGGGGATCAGCTAGAAGTCGTTCAAAATTTAATTACCTAGGCAGCTGTATTAGCGACTGTGGAATCTAAGACGAGGCCACGAACGGTATAGCGGAAGCTCGAGGTGTTTTTTGCTAACGTTCGTCTCCTACAGCGCCGGTGCGATGTCATTCCAGCCGTGAAAGACAGAGTTTAACATTCATTCGGACTTTTGATCCTACTTTGCGGTGGTGATACCCGACGCATTTGATCGGCGGAAGAAGTAATTATCTGTCGAGGTTCCAAGACTTATTCGTATGATCATGAAATAAGAGCCCTAGATTCCTGTATCTATGACCCAAATCCAACACGACGGAATGCACCAGATACGAATTAGTATGCAATGCAGAACACCCTAGTTTATAAGCAACCTGTTTGAGATCATAAGTTTAATTTCCTTCGTAAATGCAGCATTTACTATTTTTTGGTTGCCTTTAACAGAATGGACGTGCACGAAATTGACCGACACTTCCGAGATTTTTTTAGGCACAGATGTTGTTCCATCTGAGTTGAAAATAGCAAGGGTGGTAGCAATCTTTAAGCACCGATTCAAGATCACTTCCACTTGTATCCCTAAAACATCTCACTCTTTCAAAGCGGATGCTGATGATGCACCCGGTCCACTGTCCTTTTTTGTTTTCGGCCTTGTTAGCTCCTTGTAGACACTTTTGTTGTTGTTGTTGTTGTTGGTGGTGGTGGTGGTGGTGGTCGTCGTCGTCGTCGTCATCGTGTTGGTGGTCGTGGCCGTGGTCGTGGTGATGGTGGTGGTCTTGGTGGTGGTGGTGGTGTGTGTGTCAAACGATCATGAGTTTGCTTACATCATCGGTGTTACGTATCCTGCGGGAAAGCTTTCCAGAGAGTGGTTTTAGGAGTCTCCACAGGTCACTGCAACTGTGGGTACCAAATGGGCTGAATACACAGACAGTTTAGCCTTCCTACTTCAGCATTTATAGCTAATAACATTGGTTTAACACTCGCTTGTGCATGCGGGACGAAGTCTGTAGATGCTGGTGTATGAGTAGAAGCCACCTACCTGGATTTCTTAAAGGCATTCTACTGCCCCAACTCCAAAGCTATGGAATCAGTCACCCCTTCTGGGTTTAATGCCCAAATCATGCACTTAACTGAACGTTCTTTTAGGTAATTTTAGTTTCGTTCCTATAAACCACACTGTAATGGTTTCTGTCTTGTCGTAGGTTAACATATGAATGTCCTCAAAGAAGTGAGTATGAAAAAACACAGCCGACCCCTTTAATATCACAGTTAACCACTGAATCTCAATATACCTGGTTGATGCTAGTTAAGCTTCCCTGCACAGGTAGCTCTATGTGCTAAAGATGTTAACTATAGTTTCTGTCTTTTCTTCATTAAAAGGTTCTGGATCTTCCCTGGTTAGTATCTGATGGGAAATGGCACATGTTCTCTCTTTATCGGCGGCATCAGCTCTTCGTGGCGACGATGGATGGCCAGGAATATCGGACAAGTGAGTGGGCAATTGTTTTGTGCTGTGGTCCCTGAACAGATCGTAATTCACTGTTTGACTCCTTTTGTGCACATCGGCAGCCTGGATTTGTAGCGGCTTGCAAATGTTTGCGTTGATGATGTTTTTACCTCACTACTCCGACTGAGACCTTGTGCAGACAACTGAGCACACTCACTGTCTGCACACCAATTCAAGAGCATGCAGCAAGTGACTATGTCTCAGTGTGGTGTAAGCTATACCTGAAGATACTCACGTAAATCTGTGATACGTAAAAGCTTCTTGAGTGGACAGCTCTGGTTGTAAGAGTTTCGATCTGTACTTGATTAGATGGGTATAATTTTGGAAACAGCCTGACAATAACAGAGTATTTAAGTGAGGTTCATCGCAGCCAGTTTCCAAATCAGATAGTCGTCCACATGCCCGGAAAAGCACTAGACTGCAGTTTCAGCCTGTTGGGCATCGTCAGTAGTGCGCATCCATCGGATCCATCTGGATTCGAATCCATGATCACCAGCGGCTTGAACTACTGACGATGCCCAACAGGCTGAAACTGCAGTCTAGTGCTTTTCCGGGCATGTGGACGACTATCTGATTTAAAAACTGGCTGCGATGAACCTCACTTAATTACATCAAAATCCCCTACTCATGAGTACATCAAATAACAGAGTATGCCATCACTGTGTCTTTCTAAAGTTCTATCGCTTGCATTTTCGACTCTAATTTCTAAACTGACAGATTATTGCTGATGCTAAACTGGGTGATTCAATCAACCTTTGCATGTGCCTAAAGGCTGTTCATAGCTTTCCTGGAAATCGCAGAACTGAATAAACGCTCTACAAAGCACAACAAGGACTTCCGTAGTGCTACTTTTGGCTGAAAAAATGTAGGCAACAGCCGCTTAAGAACGTGCACACACAAAGGAAGATAAGCTTGAAAATGCGCAATTTGTGTAAATGTGTCCTTTAAAAACAACTTGAACCGAATAAAGTTCGGTATTCAACAATACTTGGCATCCGTACTGCATAGTATGGAATTCAATTCCGTGTTTTACGATATTAGTGCACGATTGTTTGGTGGGTGGATGCTAAGGGAGCTCATTCACTACCGTCTGGTGGAATTAATCACTAGGGAAAACCGAAGCCCATGAACAGTTAGTCGTTAGCTGGTGGCCACTTGTATTATAAAGTAACCACTAAAATTTACTCTGAAATATAAGTATTTAACATGTTCTAATGAGATCAACACCATCAACACCAACAGCACCAGCCCTTCAGCTGTTTGAACTGATGCATCACTACTGTACAACCACGATGGTCTTGCTGAACAAGCTCTTCATTGTGCTAACTGGGTACTTTGGTTTCATCCTGTTGTAGCCAACAGTTTGGTTGCAGTGTGGTGGGTTTTCGCCCGGCAAGCGAATACCCTATGAAAAACCACATATAATTGTTTAAAAACATTGCGACGTGGCAGATGTGTTTCACCACTAAATAAAGTCACCGCCCTTTTTTCCCTCCAGCGGAACATTGTATTTCAGCACCTTATTGCTGAAACCGTGAGGAGGACTGGCTCCTGTTTAGTATCCGAGCAAACGAAAGTCGCATGAACTAAGTAATCATTCGCCGGTTCCAGTAGACTGAATTCGCTGAATTCGCCCTGCTGCCTTGCGGATAGCCTGTTTGACCAAAGGTTGAGGTCGTGTTCCCTAAGTCAACTCACTATCTCGGCTTGAGCAACCGGGTGGTATCACCGCATCTAACAAAAGCCATGGAGTGTTCTACAACATGCTCGTCTGCTACTATTTCTGCTGCTTCCATTTAAGCGAATTCATCACAAGCCAGTTGTTTGTTTACTGACAGCCCTCGTTATCCGTTACCCGATTCCTGTGTTCATGAATCCGTCTGCTCACTCGGTTGCGCTGCCAACCATAGAGTTCAAACTATGGCTCTGCTTCTACCCCGATCCTCGTTCCACCTAGCGTGCTTCGACTTATGCAGACTCTTGTAGATTGGACAGCAATTCAGACTAGCTCCCACTATAGGGTCCCTCGATGTTGACGTCTACTGCCATTCAGAAACCCGACTACAAGACCCCAACACTTTGTTTACGCTGATATCCCACCCTAAACACGAAGCCAGATATTACCTACATCTTTTTGAAGATCCAGAAACAGCTTCAGCTGGCTTGGCTTATGTAGGTATGGCACAATGTGGCGACGCCCAGAGGGTACTACTGGAGTGCTTTCCGATTAACAGCCAACTGTGTGAAGTTTGGCTTAAGAGTCCATATGGAAGCAACAGGCGTCGCGGAGAGGGAAAGAAGTTGTTAGTGATCTTCACGTACACTAGAACCGATTGAAATAGTGGCTTTGTCAAAAACGAGTTTTATCGGGGGTTTGATCAACTCATGAGAATCTATAAAAGATCAAATGTCGTTCTTGCTGAGGATTTCAGTGCAACGGTTGGTCGCCTGTTACTATAAGAACTCCTTCTAGGTGATCAACACGCACTCGATGAGAACCGCTTGGATAAAGGAGAAAGAATTTTCACACTGTACGAAGCTAACCATCTGTTTCTCTCGAACACCAACTTTAAGCATGCGAAGAAGAGTTCCGCCATTTGGTGTTCCAATGCGCTAATACGAGGGTAGTCTCTAATTGTTCACTGCAATCAGCTTCAGATGGTGTGGCAACGTAAGGGACTGCGGAGCTTTTTGCTCAAATTTCATTGACTCGAACCATGTAATCCTCTGCGCGAAATCTGCACTGCAATAGGATGCAAACACATTACTTGATTGTTCGGTCTAGGCGAGCTATCAGTCTTAACTTGCATGCACGCTCAGTTGCAATCCACCGCAAGACTTATAACAACATTGGATTTGTATACCGAAGACGATCATCACTTCCGGACACTCAAGCTGCGACCTAGCCCGATGTCCCTGAAAGGCTTGTATCTTTGCTCGCTCTCTAGAGCTGTTCGGCCACAGCAGAAATATCCTGGTTGAATCAGAATACGAGGAGCGACGCCGCTCTGTCAGCCGGCATCTCAAGCAAAGCATGCGCAAGAACCACAAAGCCTGGCGGTCTGAGCTTGCTTTACAGATGAGGACCGCTGCCCACTGTGACAAAACTCGGAAATATCCCAACTCATTTGATCCATTGGCCTCAGGAAGCCTGCTACCAGTGACGTTAGTTGCGAGACAGACTGGTCGCCGATCATCAACCACCAAAGGCGTTTGGACCACTGGGCCGAGAACTTTCACTCCCAGTTCAACTGGCCTTTACCGTCCATCAATTCACACAGAACACCTTGTTGCCCACCATGGCCCGTCCCACAAGATCCGCCGAGTGAAGCGGATGACTGCCTTGAGATCTGACGCCCGAAGTGATTCAACGTTGTCTGCTCAGACATACTTCCTCCGGAGCTCTTCAGGTACGGTGGCCTGGCAATCATTAACCAGCTGACCTAACTGTTCGCAAAAATCTGGCATGAAGTAAACGTACCTTCTTTCTGGGGCGAATCAAATATTGTCCTGATTCACAAGAAGGGTACTCGCACTTAAATTGCCAATCATCACAAGATCTGTCTTCTTACGGTTACCTCTAAGCTATTAGCTACTATCCCAACTAGGTGAATCACACCACCCCGAAGAACAAATTGGTTTCGGTCCTGGCACTGGATAGGGGATCAAATCTTCATGCTGTACCAACTCCTCGCACTTTGCCACCCTTACCACAAGCCCACTACCGTCGCATTCCTAGACATGTGGACTGCATTTGACTCAGTTGATCGATCTGCTTTATTGCGTAGCTTGTAGAAGAACGGGTGCCTTTTATGTATACGAGCATCTCACGCGTATTTTACTTGCATATCTCCATGCAGGGTGAAGGTCAGTGGCAAGCTTTCCTCGCCCTTCGCTGTCAATAGCGGTGTGCAATAGGGCTGCTCTATGCCCCCATTCCTCTTCAACGGCGCAATGGACGAGGTTCTGTTGAGAACTTTAGAATGTCTCCAAAATTTCCTCCTAGAGCTTCTACCGGGTGAGAGCGCGACAGATTCAGATTATGCTGATGATTTCGCTTACTTTGTGAAGATCCACAGGGTATGCAGCTCATTCTCGATTATTTTGCGGTTGAAGCATATAAACATGGCATGAGCTTGGTCCCATCTAAGTGTAAAGCGTTACTTAACCTACTCCCGTGCTCACCCTCGAAAGTGAAAAACTTGAACGGTTAGATAGCTTCATTCACCTTGGAAGCTGTGTTTCTGCTGTTGGCAGTAGCAGCAAGTACGTTTCTGTTCGCAATGTTAAAGTCCGATCAGCATTTGTCAATTTGGAGTACTTGTAACGTCGTAGTGATGTCGCATACCCGATTAAGGACCGTGCTATAGTGCTTTTGTTCGTCCAGCATCGTTGTATGGGAGCGACTCTTGGCCAATTCGGGTGGAGTACATGTATCGTCTTCCTACCTTCTGCAAACATTGTTTGTGCAGGATCGCTCATGTGTGGTGGCAACGTCCAGTTCAAAGAGATTACTTTCGACATCGCGTCTTGGGAAATGCGCGTATTCTCTTCAACAATCTAGTTTTGTTGCGCCGGTTAATTTGGCTCGGGCGCGTTTTACACAGGACACCGGATCATTTACCATGCCGTGCTCTAATCGCTCGCCAAAGAAGGGGATGGAGGATGTGTGGTGTCGGTGGCTCACTGCACCGGTGGATCCGCGAGTTACTTGTTGGACGAAAGTGGAGGGTACAGGTCGACGACCATCTAACTGACTGGTACCCCTCTACAAGTGGCGTGCCTCAAGGCACTGTGCTGGGGCCCACTCTGTTCCTGATCCACATCAATGATCTACCGCAGCTTCTCCAGTCGCCGTGTGCCTTGTTTGCGGACGACATGAAGATTTGGAGAGAAATCGACGCTCCCGATGACTGTGGCCTACTTCAGCAAGATCTCAACCGCTTATCCACATGGTCTGCAGAAGTTCTTCTCCCGGTCAA